TTGTCAAAAATTGCGAAAAAGTCGTTATGCATTTCCAAAGTATATACTTCCAATAGGCAAATTGTGAAAATATTGCACAAATATGACATCATGAGTGACGACGATTTCTTGCATTTCTTCATATGCAATCATATTTCTACATATTTGAAACATCACATAGCTGAATTTCTTTTCTCAATTATTGGACAATTTCTTTGTGAAATTAATTTTGCAAATATACTGCTAAGATGATTCGCCATATCGTTATTCTTTTGCCAAAATAGGATGTGGAAAGTAATTTTGCAAACAACTACAAATATTTCAGAAAAGATCAATGTTTTTACATCTATTTCGTAAAATATGTCTGTATGATTGCAAATTACAATTTTAGTGCAAGATTTCGTCACATAATTTTGTAAATGGTTTCCTATCAGGGTAAGAAGAAAAAGATTATAACAAATAGATATATGCTGAAAGTTGAATAAGCTTATGTCAAAATTAATAGAGTTTATTCATATAAAAATAATATCGCGGTGAAACAATTTGATAATATATAAAAATAATTATATGTATATGATACATTAATTTTGACATAAGCTTATTCAACTTTCGACACATATCTACCCAGCAAACAAAATGNTGGCAACGTGCCGGCATTATACAAGCATGCTTTCCATGGCGTGCTGTCATGAAGTAAGAGTAAGCCTGGATCCTCATGCAGACACTGGCGCTTTAGCACCAGCGCTCAAGCGCTGTTTCAACCTTAGACCATATATACTTATAGACACGGCCTGTAGATATGAATCCACGAGTCGAGGTGAAGCAAAGATAATATCATCTACGTGACGTCACATGTGGGCATTTCAGCAATGACTAAACGCGGCCTCGTAGATGATATTATCTTATCTTCAAGGCAGTTATCTGAAGCCGTCTATAAACGCGCCTTTGCTTTGCCCACATGTGACGTCATGTAGATGATATTATCTTTGCTTCAAGATAGTTGTCTGAAGTCGTGTCTATAAGTATATATGGTCTAAGGTTTCAACTGTTGAACAAAGCTAATGAGAGCTGTCAATCCTCATGACAGCTCCGGTGCTTTAGCGCCGTTTACTCCCATTACCCGCTTTTCACCAATCAACGCTTGGTGTCAAAGCGCCGGTGTCTGTATGAGGATCCAGCCTAAGGAGATCGAACTTCATAGCGCGTCAATGGAAAAAGTGGTCCCGATTTTGACGCCTAATTGGAAGGGAATCCGCTCAAAGGAATAGTTTCTTACGGTTGGACGCCATTTGCAAAACTACCACATGTACACATTTAGTATATGTAACTATATTTATGCTCCGAATCATGAGATTTCTTTTAATGTAGAAATTTCTCAGCAATACAACAAAATAAAGTGATAAAAGATATAGAAGTTTTCTGTTTTACGTGCATCGTGTTATAACGCTTTGGGTAATTGAAAATAAAATTATAAATACGCAAAATCGGACAAACAAAAAGGTTACTAATGGAAAAAAGTAACATTAAGGAATTAATAGTAAAAAAGACTATCATTTTCAGGCTCACAAGTATAATGGAAAGAAATTCAATAAAAATGGAAAAAGCAGCAGATAAATTCAAGTATTTGCAAAAAAATTTGCATTTAGTTGAGCTGCCTTCTCCAAATTGGGGATTTACAACTGGAAACGACACATTTTTTGGTTTTGTGAAAGCAGAAAGTGATTTTAGTGTCAGAAAAAGAATTGCTGTGTAATACTAACTAAAAACTGACAGAGCTGCGTTCCGTTTCACGCGCGCGCACGCATATGCGCGCATTTATCTATACTATATGTAACGTGTACTATAGATAAATGCGCGCATATGCGTGAAACGAAACTCAGCCAAGGTCAGGTTACGTTACTTTGCAAATGGCGTCCAACCGTAAGAAACTATTCCTTTGAGCGGATTCCCTCCCAATTAGGCGTCAGAATCGGGACCACTTTTATATCACGGAGTTCGATCTCCTTACTCTTATTTCATGCGTGCTGTCTCTGTGACTGCCAGATACAGGTCCGTCTGGCAAGCATCGCGACGACACGTTATGCTACACACTCTATGCGAGCTTTGTGTAAGCAGAATGCACTTCAGAATGCCGGCATCATGCAAACACACAAGTCTTGATCAGTACTAAATCCTGCTTTTAGATTAGGATTTTTCAGTTAAAATATAAATAAAACAATTTTAAAAATATTTCTTTATTTAGAATATATTCCATATTTATAATATACATAAATTTATAATATACATAATATTTATAATATATAAAGTATTTATGATACATATTATATTTATATCTTTATATTATATTTAATTATATTATATTCTTATATCCAAATTGCTGAGCACAGAATTGCAGAAATACACATACAGCTTCTTTCGTATAATACAGTGTAGCCTCGTCTTTTGTTCGACTATAAAACGGATGCACACCGACTAAAAGATTTTGAAGAGATTATATGTAGAAATATCACTACCTTATTGAAAATAGAAATTTGCACATATTCATACATGTACACATTTATGTTAAAATGTGTATATAAGCCAAATATATAAACTTATAAATGTGTGTGTGTGTGTGTGCGTCCTTACTTTATATATCCAATATAATTATATATCCAACTTGCCGAGCACAAATTGCAAAATGCACCTTTTTCACAACACAGTATAACCTTGTTTGTGCGGGCAATAACCGTTATCTTATATCAAAACCAATAAACTATACGATTTCAATGTTTTTGTTTATAAAATTGCCGAATGTGTATAATAATAAGTTAACGGTTTTTGCTCGCATAAACAAGGTCTCAATGCTGGAGCTGATACACTTCCAGACAAGGGGGAAAGACAAGCAGAGGGAAAGAATAGATTGTGCCACCGGAGAATCACCAAATTAAAAGTAGCGACATCTGTCGGTCCTCCTGCAATGCTTACCTCAGCACGCCATGATATCATTTTGTTAGCATACAACGCGTGTCATCACTGAACAGCACTGTACCAACATATTGTTCACATGGCATGCTTTTCACGGCGTGCTGACACGTGATCTTTGCTGGGTATATAATTCTTCAAACGAGATTTTTACAATACATACGTTTTTTCCATATACCGGAGACATTATAATTTTATTTATTACACACATATATACATATACATGTTAGTTGTTAACGTTAGATATTTAGTAAATGGCTACCCAGACGGCACAATGATGTATTTAAGATGTTTTGAAAATATCTCACAGAGACTTTGAATGTGCAAAAGATATCTTTTTGAGACATTTTCGAACGAGTAATAATGTTCAAATAATATCTCAGGGATATGCCTGAGACTGCTAATGTCCACATCAAAAACATGCAAATGATATCTCTTGCAAAAGTTCTAAAAATGAGGAGATTTTCGAGATTTCACTCGAATTAGTTTTTGAAGGCCTGATACAGCTCGCCGATCAACCGATGAACTCCATTGAAAAGGACCGGACTTGAAAAATCCTAAGGTGATTAGTGAGATTTGAACTCGAGACCTCCGCAAGCCCATATCCGCAGCCCCTGCACTCAGTCCGCGAGACTACTTGCTTCTTACTAAATTATAATTGTTTTTATCTACTTATTCTTGAGTTATTGTACACATTTTGTTTATTATTTATTTTAATTATTATTTAATAAAAATATTGCAGTGCAATGTATACATTGCAACTTGAGAATTGATTTTCATATCTCGCGCAAAATATATTGTGCGAAGATTTGTGATATCATCAATACATATTTCAAAAATATCATAAGACTATCACGGGAGTGTAATACATTGCATTCAAATTTTCTATACATTAAGCGATGTCTTTGAGATATACTTGAAAGAAAACAGTACTAATATTCTTAGAAAAATATCTGTGTGATATTTCAGGGATGTGATATCACATGATATCATGAAAATGACGTAGAAACGATATCATTCTACAATCAAATGATATCATGTGCCGTCTGGGTAATAGTTTTACGTTTTGAGAAGAAAATTGAAAAGAAGAGTAGTTACATTATCGACACGATGTAGTTGCGAACAACCAATTGCTACTATTTAGTTCGGACGGCGCTCGCTGGCGCTACGAGCAACCGCCCCGCTTGTTCTCCGATCCCCGCGCCTACTCCGAAAATTTTTGACGCCGTCTGTTCAAGTAACCGAATTCACTATAAGATATAATGAGAAGTATTAATTTTCTTTACGACAGAATGAGATAGTTATTAATTTTGATCAATTTTCAGATACAATAACCGAAAGATCATTAGACAAAGAAAATGAGATATGAATTTTTAAATGAAGGTAATGAAATTAATGTTAAACGTATATTTTCTTATATTAATTAAATAATTAAATACTATTGTGTTTACAGTGAATTCTATGAAAAGAAGAGTTTCGGATAACATTAATGTGCAAACTAGAAAACCAACAAAAATACAGAAAACTGCGTTAGAAAATCTTGATAGCGACGAAAATGCTGTAAAAATTGAAAGAATAAAGAAGATAATGGAAGATGAAAGAGAAATAACAGACTTACGAAAAGCTCATTAGAACAGAATGATCATAATGACAGAAAATTTTCATACTGAATTATATACTTTGGAAATTCGAACAGCTACTGCGAAAGCCGAACTAGCTGAAACTAGAAGAACTTAAAAAAGAAAAAGAAAAATACATGCGTTTATAAGAAGATGACCAATGCATAAAAAAGTGTTCACAAAAGAGCATGACTGAACTAAAACCAAAGTATAAGATATCTTTAAGTTGTTTTGTACTTATAAAGTTTAATGCGTTTAAATTATTATTATTTTATTCGTTGCAAGTTAAAAAGTGCATTGTACACAGAGTCATATATAGAAAGTTATATATAGAGAGTAGTATATATGTTAATACAGTTTATTATAAAATAATATAGTACATATATTATATAATATTGAATAATAAAATATAAGATAACAAAAGTATCTAAATAATCTTTCAATGAGCGCTGCTCGTACTGCAAAACCTTCGCCTGGCTGCCAATTTGGCTCATCAATTGGCATTTCTTCTATTTCAATATTTTCCGGTAATTTTTCTTCCGGTAATACATCATTAAAAATTAACGAAAGATTATGTAGTACAGCAGTAGCGACTACAATAGTAGTTGAACAAATTAACTTATTAGTCAATCCTCTAGATAGACATGGAAATCTGCGCTTCCAAATACCAAATGTCCTTTCAACAATCTGACGTGTTCTTTTATGAAGCAAATTGTAACTATAATAAGACACATTAGATATTATAATTAGATATTATAATTAAATATAGAAAAATTAGAGATATAATACTTACGTAATTTCTTCATCTGTTTGTGGATTTTGAATAGGAGTTAAGAGAAATGATAGACAGGGATATCCACTATCTCTCACTAGAGTACCCGGTAACTGAAGTTGAACATATCTCATATATATTCTAGAATTTTGTAATATTCTACTATCATGTTGACTAACGAGCCATTCTGGAACGATATCCAAAAACTCTGTTCTAGGCCCAACAACAGCCTGCATATAAATACAAACATATCAAAATCAATAATATTTTGACATAATGTATATAACATAATAATACATTAAGTAATTAACTATGTTCATTTAAATTATGATGTTTCCGACACAACACAAAGTTCAAAAATCGAAACACAAGATATCTTATTATAAAGATATCTAAATTGTCTTTTAAAAACATCTAGAAAATATCTTATGTCTTGTTTTTAGACTTTGTGTTGTAGGGAAAATACATATATATTAAGTTAAAGTTTGGTATTAGCATACATTTTAGTACATACCTATACATTTAATGAGAAATATCCCTTTCAATTTCTATAAATTTCATCGATATTATGGAATTTGGTACCAGTTAAACGTATCCCAGTAAGCAAGCTCACGTGATAATGACGTCAGTTTTTGGTCTGCAAAACGTCAATTATGACAATTACGTGATTTTGACGTACATATCACGTGATTATGTCATATCTTCCCAGATAGTCAAATGTGAAAACTCAATATAAAGCAAATCATTGTATAAATTAAGTTGCTCGCCAATTGCTGTTGTGTTGTTTTTATTTAATGCAACGAAAATGTTTTTGTCAATTCAGTATCAATATGCTGAGTTTTATTATCAATCAATTGTTGTAGCCAATGTTTATGACAAGTAAGTCAGCAATATGTAAGCAATATATGAGCAATAATTGTTATTCATAAGTTGAGAAAAATAATAGAAGTTTATTGCCGATGAGTTGTTGGGAACTTGCTGTTATTATATCTTGTAAACTGTTGCTGGCAAGAACATACCGAAAAGAGGATACACCCTGAAAACATATGAGCAATATTTGTGGCAAGTTGCCAACAACTTGCACTCAGTTGGCTATCTGGATTATTGACGTCATTATATTACGTCAAGTAGACGTGAATATAATCAAAAAAGTCTCATCAATATAATATGGTAAGGACGTTATTGTAAATATAAAAAGAAAAAAATATAACACACAAAATAAAATATAACACTTAAAGAACAATAGTATCAACATCCAACATAGCATGTAATATTACTGCATTACAGTAATAAAATGACTGCCGAAATGCATTGCAGTAATATTACGGTGATATATAAAAAAAACGCCTTATAGAAACAAAATTAATTCGAAATTTTACTTGAATTAATTTTTGGAGATCTGATTTAGTTTGTCAATCAACTGATTAACTTGATGAAAGATACCGGGTCTGGAAAAAATCCTAAGGTGATGGTGGAATTTGAACTCGAGACCTCCATATTCGCAGGCCCTGCACTCAGTCCGCTAGACTTGTTCCTTACTATAATGTAATTATTTTTGGCTCTTATGACCGAAGATTTCATGTTTGTAATTATTGTTCTTTACTTATTCTCAAACTATTCTACACATGTTATTTATTATTAATTAATAAGAAATATTTAATAATAATTGTTCTTATTATAAACTTTAACTACAATAAACTTTAGTTATCATTGAATATATTTATATATTATGTTATTTTTAATAATATTTAATATATAAAAGGTAATCAGGTTACCAAAGTACGTGGCTACTTATCTATAAATAAATGGCTACACTTATCTATAAATAATCTATTTAAAAATATAATATAATATATTATATCTTTGAATTTAACTCTCTCTCAAAGTTGTTGTTAGAACTTCATTTAATCGTTTTATTGATGTCATATTGAAATTCAATATATATAAGTTGATATATGACGTCAACGCGACATCTTAATGACGTCATATCGGCGACGTCAACTTTTGGTATTGTAAATGACGTCAAAATAACATACCATTTATGTTACTTAACGTCGTAGTCATCAAAATCACTTCATAATCACGTCATTATCACGTGAGCTTGCTTGCTGGGTAGCTCCATCGATGCCAGGTAAACCAATACCTCTATCACGGCGTCCTATATCTCTAAAAAGTCTGTGGTTCTCTTTTATAATATCTGGTGTAGAAGACATTTTTATAAATTGATTAAAGATTCTTGCTAAAAGTACAGATATTTGAAATACTATTCTTGACACACAGTTGGTTGTGACACAATTATAGTATCTCCAAGTACTTGCTGTAAAAAATATTAATATACCTTAAAAAAAATTATTAAATTCTATACACTCTCTAAAAAATGTCTACATACTAAAAACTGTTGATATTTTATTAGAATACTGATATATATAAATATCATATGTAATTATATGTTATACATATATCCAGCAAACAATTTGGTTGTGGGATGTTGTGGATTTGTCAAAAATCGCCGACGGAATTTAAAAATGCCAAAACCATAGCCTACTGTGTCCTCAGTAGGATATGATTTGGCGATTGAATCTGTCCAACATGTAAATATGCCAAAACGAGACCGAAATTGTAACAGATCTGCCACTAGCAAAGCGAAGCCAAAGTGAGGTACCAAATCCACAACAGGTTTGGGTGTCGTCTGTTGGCGCCAAAATATCGCCAAATATAAAACATATCTGTTATCAAAACTGTCAACAGAACATTAGCAAATACATAGCAAATCTGTCGTCAGAAACGTCAACACGTGTTTCTTACTAACACATAATTATTTTTATCTATTTATTCTCAAGCTATCCTACACATTTTATTTATTATTTATGTAAATTATTATTCTATTAAAACTATAGAAGTACAACGTACCTGCAACAATAAATAAAAATATTTTTATTATTATTATTAAACATAATTTAAAATACATTTTTACAACGCAAACAAATTTTTCGTTGATATATACTGATTACACTGTTCTCAACACAATTTTGAGACCTGAATATTAATAAAATTTATGTTACTTATTTATGTCATTAATATTAATTACTTAAAATTAATGTTATTGTGTATATTAAAAAAATCGTACAGTACTAAATATACATTCACATTATAGATTAAAAGATAGCACTTTAATGTTGTGTAAGTAAAATTGTAAAAAAAAAAGAAATAATTCGGACGCCACCCGAGACGGCTATATACCGCGAGTAGCCCTTCCGAAAAATTCGGCTGCCACCCGAGACGGCTATACACCGCGAGTAGCCCTTCCGAAAAATTCGGCTGCCACCCAAGACGGCTATATACCGCGAGTAGCTCTTCCGAAAAGATTCGGCTGCCACCCGAGACGGCTATACACCGCGAGTAGCCTTTCCAAAAAATTCGGCTGCCACCCGAGACGGCTATACACCGCGAGTAGCCCTTCCGATTAAACTGAATTTTTGAGTGTGTCTATGTATTTGTTTATTTTGACCGTTTTCTCGATTTCTCCGAAAATCAGTCGCAAAGTCGAGAGGTAAGTACGCGAACAGTGGAACCTTCGAATAAAAATAATTACAATATAGACTTACTATTTGCTGCGGACCAGTGATGTTGATTAATAAAAGGTTCTAGGCTGTTGCGGCGCAGTAGTTCACTCTGGGATCTCACATTCTGCACTCACTGTCACTCACTCATTCGCTGTGGTACTTCTAAAATCTGCGGCTCTATCTGCCTCCGATCCCGAGAGTCCCGGCTTATATACAATTTTGAGTAAGCGAGGACTCTCCCAATCGGAAAACTCAGTCAACCTTCGCCAGTTCCCATTTGTTAGTCAGTGGTCGGGTAAACTTCGTGAGATCGCCAATCAGCGACGATCTCTCGGCTCGGTCGGCTCGTTCGATTTTCCGGAGAAGGGAAAAGGGAGAGTGTTGGTTTTCGATCACGCCACCTAGACCCTTTGCTATTTGTTTATAATAAAATTGCTCGTAGCGCCGGAGTTCTGTTTGCTCCGGCTGGTCTAATTTTTATGAGCGGTGTTCTTCCTGGCCCGGAGATATCGCCGTCACGTATTTGATAACGTTCTAATCACAGATCAAAGAGTAAACTTTACTAAAAGTATTGCTAAGGCATTCCTTCTACTGATGCTTTACACTCTTATTAATGTATTTAACAGAGATTATTTTCCCATAATAATATATTCATACTACCATGATCACAAAATAACCGGAATTTATTCATAAAAAGAAAAGTACATGTTTATTCTTTAAAATTCAAGTTGTCCCCTTCAAAGTAGTCC